ACGTTCTAATTTCAATTTCTCAACTTTGATCGCGTATTACAGCAATATGGATAATAGCACAGTAATGTATCTATAGTTGCTGGATTCCCCAAACATTCAGCTTTCATATGCATATATTGGATTCATTCTATCTATTGTAGTTTTCAATGAAACGTGAAAACACTTTAACTGTATTGCATATTTTTTGTAATTTTTTTTTCAATATTCTAGATTCAATATGAAGAGAAACGGTTTCTACAACTTATTTCCTTTTCTTTTTTTCATAAAATAAAACTTTAAAAATATTACATAAAACTATAGCAAAATAAAATTTACTTCATGGTAAACTATATAGAAAAAGAGTAAATGACTATAAAATCTTAATTTATGTTTTTAATCAAATAATTAATTTATTTTTGTATACAATATAAAAATCCTAGAACGTACTTATAATTAAATAACTTATAAAAAAATACGAAAAGAAACGCTTTCTACAACTTATTTCATTTTTTTATAAAATAAAACTTTAAAAATATTACTATAATAAAACTATAGCAAAATAAAATTTACTTCATGGTAAACTATATAGAAAAACGAAAAACAGTAAATGACTATAAAATCTTAATTTATTCCTTGTTTTAGATGTTAAAATGGAAAGAATGTTTATAGAAAAATATAAAAATTTTATACGATTTTCTATTTTTCGATAAAACTATTTTTTAAATGTTTTAGGAAAAGACGAAGTCACTTTTTCAGGTTTCTTGAAGATATTTGATGGATGAATTGATTTTTCCATAGCATTTTCTAAAGTTATTGTTAGGTATAATAATACTTAATTACTTCCCGATTTTCTATTTGTTTCATGAAACTTAGTATTTAACAATTTTCCCGTTTTATACCAGATGATATTTTGTATAAAAATAACGAGCAATCCGCTTAATGAGCAAAATTAATTGTAAGAAAAATGACTCGCTTAACGAGTCACGTTATGTGGTGTCGTTTATATAGAAAAACGTGTTTCACTGTACGAGTAAAAATCCGGAAATTTTAGAACGGATTAAACTCGTTGAAGCTACATTTTAAAATAGACTTTTTTTAAATAAAAATAATTGATATTCTTATATAACAACTTTGGAAGTTAACGTTTAGAAATGTAGTCAATGGATGTTGTGAATTGATTTGAATTAGATCCGACTCATTTGTAATATAATAAAATATCAATTATTCGACCCAATTATTGTGCCCTATATATTATATATATATTAAGTGGAAATTGACGCGATTTCCTGTTAAGTAAACGCGCCAAACAAAACAAAACGCTTATTATCAATTAAAGCTCTGGCAACGCCGATCAATTAACTTTTTCCTTCCACGAGAAACGAATTATGAACGAACGAACGAAAAAAAAAATAATACAAACATAAATAACTGCGCTTCGAATCTAGTTATTAGAAATCGATTAAAAATCGAGTCACAGAACGTCTATTCGTATTAATCTTTGACAGTCGTTCAAATTGTTTGTTCATCGAGGCGCGAATTCACGGCCTTTCCTTTTCATCTCTCAAGCATACGAACATATTGTTATTATTGATGCTGACGACGAGAATAAATGAAATTAAACTTAATTAATATGATTGTGTTTAAAGTTGAGAATCGTTATTATTGTTGTTTCAATTTATCGATGACTTACGTTTCTAATCCAATTGATGTTGTTAATAATAGAGGTCTTCGGATTGTGGAAATTTGGTGGATCGGAGACGTCGAGGAAGAAAGGTATCTCACATTAGATGCGTGAACTTGTCTGTTGTTCTGAGGTTGTCCGTATAGGAAATAATATCACATCGCATTCTCATAAACATACAATACACTTGCGCAATGCGAATGCGAGAAGAAGCGCAAAAAAAAAAAACAGGAGAGAAAAATGGAAATAGAAATCAGAGGAGAGACGAAAACCAAATGATATCCTGTTGGGAATTCGTTTCCAAAGCTATGAACATAATTGCGCAATCGGTATTTACAGCTTTTTTTATATGATCAACAGTTTAGTCGATAAACTGAGATATAGTGGGAAAATGTAACGAACTTATTTTGAAAGAATTTTGATTTGTTTTTAAATTTATACAAATAAAATCCGTTTTTTCTTATAAATTTTCTCTAAAAAAATCAGTTTCAAAGATTATTTGATAATTTTAGCAAGTTAATTAAATATGAAGTCAATGTAGAATTCGTAAGGAAGTACACTAAAATCTGTTATTACACGATTTAGAAATAACACGGTTTTGTCAAAATTTAAGATGAAATTGCATTTGCGGTTGAAAAAAAAAGCTACAATTATACCAGATGATTCATATGTAGATATAGATGAATTGTTTGTTAACAAACTTCTTGAGGAAGATGAAATAATACATCTTGTCTATGTGAAAAACTATTTTCTTATACATGATCCTCTTGCTAAAAAAGCTGCATAGTTTTAATGTTTTACACGATTATCCTTGTACGAGGATCAAAAAGACAATTATAACTATCGAATTATTTCACTAATTTTTGTGAATGTTATGTGTTTTCCTTTTATCATTTGAAATATGTCACTTTTAGCTAATGGGAAGAAAGCTGATGAGGCGCAGAAAGTGATACGTAAAGTCTATGATATTAATAGTTTAACAGAATACAGTTTTCAGTCAAAGATGACCAACATTCTGATTGACCTACTGAAGGTTATGATGACCAAATCAGAATTATAATTGAATCGGATCATCATATAACTGCAAGAGATTATAAATAGGTTAAATATATCAGACACAACAACTGTAAATCGCTTAGATTCGTTAAGAATTTCGTTAACACTTGCTGCATCCAAGTAACCAAACTATGAATTAATATGTTTACAGTCAACAATTAATGAAACGGGAGGAAGAAATCAAAGCAAAAATCTCCCGAATCACCAAAACAATGCAAAACCTCACACATCTTTAGTAACTCGTGGAAACTTATTGGAGCTTGGTTGGGAAATGATTTTGTTCCTCCATATAGCTCAGACTTCGTACTTTGAAGTTACCATTTGAATGGTAAAAAAGTAGTTTTAAGTTGTCAGAAAGATGACAAAAAGTCATCGAAGAAAATGGAAAATGTATAATTAATTCAAATTCATTCTTTGTATACAAAAAAGACTTTATTTCACACTAAAAACCGAAAGGTATTTCTTGTTGACCAAATACATTAGAAAAACTAACAAATTATTATTTGTTGGTCTTTCTACCAAATAATTATTAAAATTTTACATATTTTTGAGTGATTATAAAATTGCATAAATAACTAATTAACAGATATCTCAATAAAGATGATAACCACATTCCATTCTTAACTAACCAATAAAATGTCATATTGCAAATGAAAATAATAATTTGATATATATTAAATATAACAAAGGTCACGAGTTAGACATAACAATAGTGATTATAGACTTAGTGAAATATTCATTTTGCAACAGATATTTTCTTTTATACGCTTCAATGTTATTGTTGTAATAAAATTATATAATAAAACGAAATAATTATATTTCAACAAAGTTTTTAAAAATTATGAGCAAACATGAATCATTGCATACATTTTTTATTTATCTGGGGTATTTTGATTTATTGACAATTTTATCGTCTAGAAGAGATATCGAGTTTAATAAGTATCATTATCAACAAAATTATTTATAATTATTAATGTTATTTTATATAAATCATTGAATATTGTATGTAGGGCCGTCCCTAGCAAGTGCGGGGTTCAGGGCAAGAAAATATTTTTGGGGCCCCTTA